TCGGGAAAGGGGCGGGGGGGCAGAGGCGCTCGAAGGGCCGCGGCGGCGGAAAAAGGGCTGGCTGAGCGAAAAAACGGGGAAGGAGGGGGAGAGGGAGCCGAAGGGCGCGGAGCGCTAGGCTAGAGCGGCCTCCCCCTCCCCGAAGTCGGGGGTGTCTTAGCCGCTGGGGAGTGGGGCCGCAGCCTCTGCAGCTGGATTTCCCACTCTGACGGGCGCCATTTTACCGCCCAGAGGGCGTCCCTCCTCCTCTCTTCCTCCCTCTTCCCCTCTGACACTACTTCCGGTGGTGACGTGTATTCGCTTCACCCGGACTACGGTACCCCCGACTCGGTTTATAGGGGTGGGGATAAGGGAGGCGGAGTGTGCTACAAACAAGGCAGCAGCATCGCGCACGCGCCGCAGGTGGCAGTGGGGCGGGGCCTGGAGTGAAGCTGGCCCTGCCTTGAGGGGGCGGGGCGGATTACGTCACTGCTTCCCAGGTTCGCGCCGTCGGGCGAGCTCGCGCGGCCTCCTTCCCTTCCCACCGACAACTGCCCTAACTGCTCTTCCTGCCCCAGTCACGGTGAAGGTGTAGACAGAGAGCGTTGTCCCTACGTCTGTACGGCCGTCTGCGTGATCCCCCCGGGAATACTGAACATAATCACCTCTCATTCCAGACTATGGCAGGTGGACGTGTGGAAGGACTCAGGAATACCCAGCCCCTTTCACCCAGAGGGGGCGGAGCAGCGCGCCGTGACGCCATCATAGGGCGCCCAAGGAGGCGCCGAGCGGGAGCTGAAGATGTTGGATTCGCTGTTGGCCCTTAGGGGCTTTGTACTGCTTCGGGGTGAGGAGCTGAGGCGCAGGGAGTTCTGGGGCTGGCTCGAAGGGCCAGGTTTTTCTGTAGTTCTTGACTTTTCCGTAATGACATCTACCAATTGCTTTTTTTTCTTTCTTTCTTCAAATTTCTTTTTACTCGTTCATTTAATTTCGTTCATTCAACAATGGATCAGGGATTAGGGGTGAAGATTGCCACGGGTTCGTGAAAGTGGTCTCACGCTCTATTTATCCGTCCCTTGCTCTCCCCAGATTCCGTGGAGTGTGAGGGGCGCAGTCTCCTGAAAGCGCTTATCAAGAAATCTGCACTCTGGTAAGTACTCCGTAGCCCCTTCCGTCCATCCCCGTAAGGGAGCCTGGGACCCACTCTTTTGACACACCATCTCATCTGTGTTTCAGTGGAGAGCAAGTACACATCCTGGGATGTGAAGTGAGCGAGGAAGAGTTTCGTGAAGGTTTTGACTTCGATATTAACAACCGGTAAGTCACATAGAGGTGCTATGAGTCAAAAATCGACTCGACGGCACCTAACAACAGCAAAGTACAAACCAGGATAGATTTAATTCGGTGTGGGTCTTCTGTTACTAACAAAAGGACCTGGTACGTAGTAGCTGGTGCTTAAATATTCATGTTCGTAGAAAGAATAGATATGGGTCTTTCAGGAGGAGGGTTAGCAATAGGAATGATGAGTGGTGAGTGTCTAGAAAATTCAAAACAGAGACCATAGAAGTTGAGAGAGAGAAAGTAATGAAAAGCAGACGGTACAATTTAGCACCAGAGTGTTATTGGAGAATAAGAATAAACATAGTCTTTTGAGTTATTCAGAATCTGCTGATGCTTAATCCAAGATGGATCTTATATCAACATCTACTGCAGACCCCTGGGAGACTTGTCCTAGAGGCTGAAGGAACAGTATATGCAAAATTAGGAAGGTGGAAGAGCTTCCTGAGATAACTGAGGTCAGACAAATAAGCAGCTACCCATAAAAAGTTTTAGTAAAACATGAAAATGACTTTAGTGTTATCTTAAAGGTAGTAGGGAGTCATTTGAAAATTTAGCAGCAGGGGAGTGACAAGATTATACCAATTAGACTAGTCCAGTGACCACAGTGTGGAGAATGGATTGGAAGGGGGCAGCCTGGAAATAGGGCCACCAGTTGGAAAGGCATTGCAGTAATCCAGGTTCACTCATTAAGCGTATATGTACTGGGCACCAGCTGTCCACCAGGTGCTGTGAATGAGGAAGACATGTTCCCTGCCCCATTAAAGCTTAGAGAATAGTAGTGAGAAGTGACAGTGGCTTAAGGCATGGCAGTAGGGATTTAGTTTGGGACCTGCGAACCTGGATTACTGCAGTAGCCTTTCTGCCTGGCCGCCCTGTTTCCAGCTGCCCCTTTCCAATCCATTCTCCACATAACAGGTATGGTTTGTCACTCTCCTGCTCCTAAATTTTCCAAATGACTCCACTTCCTTTAGGATAACACTAAAGGACCTTGTGTTGTTAGCTGCCATCAAGTTGGTTCCGACTCATAGTGACCCCGTGCACAACAGAATGAAGCACTGCCCGGTCCTGTGCCAGCCTCACAATTGTTGCTATGCTTGAGCCCATTGTTGCAGCCACTGGGTCAGTCCACCTTGTTGAGGGTCTGCCTCTTTCTCACTGACCCTCCAGTTTACCAACCATGATGTCCTTCTCCAGGGACTGATCCCTCCTAAGCGGACCTTAGCAGGTAGAATTCCCACAACTTGTTGACTGATGTGGGATAGCAGAAGGCATCCAGATTAGGAAGCATCCCTGAATCTACCTGTGTACCTGGTCAGGAAAGGTTAAGACCATTAGAAAAATGCTTTCTACTTCCTAATCTGAGCAGCTCAGTGGATAATAGTAATTTGCATTTACTTGTTGAGCCCTAAATTTGTATTGGCTGTTGTTGAGATAGAGGTGGTACTGTATGTTAAGATGGAATTCACAAGGGAAGCAGAAGATACGAGGTATTTGGAATAAGTTTTGCCACCATGAAGCTTTCCCAGGATTTCCAGTCCATGCCATTCTCCCTTTCCTGGACTGCTATTTTATCTGTAGTTAGTACCATGTGATTTAATTATTGACTTTTTCTAAAATGCCCTATAGGGAGGAACCATGTATCAAGTTTCCTACTTTTTCTTTATCCATCCAGAGAGTGATGTGCTTCAGGTGCCACTTAGAAATACTTGCTAATGGTAGTAGCAAACATTTATTAAGCGTTTAATATGTGTCAGGCACTGCTAAATGTCAAGAGGTTAGTGTCTATTTTACAAATGAAGAAACTGAGTCTTAGACATACTAAATAATTTATCAGTTAGATCACCTTGGGCAAATAGCAAAGCCAAGCTTGCAGCTCAAGACTGCCTTGACACAAAAGTCTGTGCTCTCAAACACTGTGTTCTGCCTCTCACTATTTAGGTATTAGTGAACATCAAAAAAACAAAGTCACAAAGATCAGAGGATGAAGTCTGAGACGGGGAAGAGGGAGCAGTATTATGTTGTCTCCTACTTTCGCTTTGCAGAGTGGTTTACCATAACCTCTTCAGAGACCCTCTCAACTGGTCAAAGACTGAAGAGGCCCTTCCTGGGGGGCCCCTAGGAGCCTTGAGAGCCCTGTGCAGGAGGACACATCCTGGTCCTGTCACCATCGCTCTTGATTCACTCAGCTGGCTGCTGCTTCACCTCCCCTGCACCACACTGTGCCAGACCCTGCATGCTCTGAGCCATCGGGACTTCTGCCCTGGTGAGACCCCCTACTTCCTCTTCTGCTGCCAAGGAATGTACCCCCTTTCTTTCCCCCTCTAAGGAAAAAAAACATAACAAAGCTCTATAGTTGTTTAAATGTAAATCTTATCAAGGTGCCACTCTGACTTCATTCCTTCAGTAGCTCCTGGTGGCCTGCAGGATGGTATTGACACTTTCATCATCTGGTCTTTGCTTACTTTCCAGCCTCATCTCTTACACATTGTATGGCTTCTTCCTCTCTAAGCTTTTTCTGTAGTTCTTGACTTTTCCGTGATGACATCTACCAATTGCTTTTTTTTTTCCTTCTTCAAATTCCTTTTTACTCGTTTATTTAATTTCATTCATTCAACAAACATTAAATATCTACAATGTGTGAGATATGATTCTAGATAATGGGAGAATAAAGATTAACTGTGTAGTCAGGTCCTTGCCTTCCAGGAACTCAAAATCCCATAAAGAATACAGACAAACAGGCAGATACAGGATAGTTTGATAAGGGCCTTGATGATAAAGACGTACACAGGGTACCTCAAGGAAGGCATTGCCTTAAAGAGTTAGCCAGGACAGTTTGCCCTGGGCAGAGCCACTGGGAACAGCCCTGAAGCACATCGTGGGTAAGAGAATATTAAATTCTTTGATTTCTCAGTATTTAAGTTCTCTGAAAAATGGGGTAATAGTATTAGAAATCAAAAAACATGTTGCATTGGACAAATCTGCTGCAAAAGATCTCTTTCAAGTGTTAAAAAGCAAAGACGTCACTTTGAGGACTAAGGTGCGCCTTACCCAACCCATGATATTTTTAGTCGCCTCATATGCATGCAAAAGCTGGACAATGAAAAAGGAAGACCAAGGAAAAATTGACGCCTTTGAATTATGATGTTGGCGAAGAATGTTGAATATACCGTGGACTTCCAGAAGAACGAACACATCTGTCTTGGAAGGAGTACAGCCAGAATGCTCCTTAGAAGTGAGGATGGTGAGACTTTGTTTCGCATACTGTGGACATATTTTCAGGGGGGACCAGTCCCTGGAGAAGGACATCATGCTTGGTAAAGTAGAGGATGAGCGAAAAAGAGGAAGACCCTTGACAAGATGGATTGACACAGTGGCTGCAACAATGGGCTCAAATATAACAACAATTGTGAGGGTGGCACAGGACCAGGCAGTGTTTCGTTCTGTTGTATGTAGTGTCACTGTGAGTCAGAACCGATTTGATGGCAACTAGGATGAACCACTTGAAATTGCCATTTTTGTAGCCCCAAAAGGGTCAAATACCAGTTTTATATAGTTCAATCTAAAAATGCCTTTTTGTGGATTAAAATGCCTTATTAAAGTGCAGTGCCTGGCACCATAGATGCCCCAAGAAAGGGAGGAAATCAAACACAATGACTGAAACGTTGGCAGGTTCCAAAAACTGTGGGTCATTCAGTGTGTAAGAAGAGGCTGGAAAGTAAACAGAGACCCAGGTGATGCAAGTGTTAGTACTATTTTGACAGCCAGGAGGAGCTACTGAAGGGTTGAAGTCAGAGTGGTGCCTTGATCAGATTTACATTTGAACAAGAAAGTATGTTAAAGGAGGGCTGAACAAGTTTCTGAGAAAGGCAGGGAACTTGGCCAGGGTAGATCAGGATTGTGGCAGAGCTGCAATGGAATGGGGTCCTCTCCTTCCTCTTCTCTTTACTATTTCCCAAGCCCTACATTTCTTGTCCCTCTGCAGATGGCAGCTCCTCAGTGGAGCAGGTATGTGTGCTGGGCCTGCTGCATGAAGAGCTTCATGGCCCAGGCCTTGTAGGGGCACTGAGCAGCCTTGCTCAGGCAGAGGTGACCCTGAGTGGTATGCTGAGCCAGACGTCAGCCAGCATCGTCTATCGAAGGCCCCGACAGCGTCCAACCCGTCAGGTCAGGAGAAGCAATGGGAGGGCTGGAGATTGGGGTCAGAGAAAGGGGAAGCATGATGCGAAGAGCAACAAAAAAGCTGATATGATTGAGCATTTCCCTGTGCTTGCCATCATTCATCTCATTTAACCTTCACAGCTATTCTGGGAGGTAGATTGTTTATTAGCCATGTTTTGCAGATGGGGAAACAAGTCCAGGGAGGTTCAAATCAAAGTTACTTATTCAAGGTTACAGAGAATGAAGTGTTAGAGCCAGAATTTGAGCTCAGGATTGCCAACTTAGAAACTAAGCTTAAAAGATACCACCTCCCAGGAAATGGTAAAGGATAAAAGACTGGAGTGGGTTACCAGGGGGCAGAAGGGAGAAGTCCATGTGGAGAGGCTTGAAGGAGGGGTTAGAAGTTGAGGCAGGGGCTGAAAGCAGCCAGCTACACAATGACTGGGGCCTAGGGGTGTTAGGTCCTGAGTTGTTCTCTGGTTTATTCAGCAATATTGAAAAAAACTTTTTAACTATTTTTTCTTCTCCCCAGACTCAGTGCTTCTCCATCCTGCCTGACTTCAGCCTGAATCTCCAAGGGGTGCTCCCCTTAGAGTCCCAGCCCCACCCAGGCCCTCCCACCACCCAGGTCTCTAAGAGGGACAGAGCAAGGGAATAAATGAAGCTTGGGGTCTGGTGAAAGAAGAAAGAAGAATAAAAGATGCAGACTTTGGGGAAAGGGCTGGGATTCCAGGGACAGGGCAGAGTGGCAACATCTTTTGTACCCACAGGTGGATCCTACGACTCATTTAACCTTTAACCTTCGCCTGTCCAAGAAAGAAAAAGAAGCCAAAGATAGCCTGACCCTGCCCTTCCACTTCAGCTCTGAAAAGTAAGGTTGGGGCCTACGTGCCCAGGTCCCTGAGTTGAGCCCAGCATCTGGGCCAGAGGAGGGTGGGGTGACTGCAGGTTATTGGTTAACCTTTCTAGATTTTTATAGGGGCTGAAGTCCGTCTCCAGAGACAAATCCAGGGCGTGGTTCTCTACCCACGCATACTCCCACCATGGCAGGGGACCCGTATGTATCTTTTCTCTCCTTGAGAGCCTTGGGTCCCAGCTTGACAATTATCCCCAGAGCAACCTGTGCCTGGGCTGAACCAGACCAGACTCTGAGGAGGTGGCCCTATCCCCAGGCAACAATGTTAGGAAGACAGGAAGCTAGATGGGTGTGGCAGTTTAACAAGGGCTTATAAATGCCTGCTGTTCTGTGCCCAGTGTGTAGGTGGATGAAGCAAAACTGTGACAAGATCCTTGTCCTCAAGCTGCTAAGAATTTATGGTGGTGTTAGAACAGTACAAGAGTATCTATCCCAGTACCAAATGATGCTTCGGCACTAACTAAACGTGGAGGTCAGAGAAGGGGAGGTGAACTTGGGTCAAGAAAACAATTTGGAGACCTAAGAGGGATTGCGCAAGTGAGAGTCACAGTCACCAGGAAGAGCGGTATCCAGAACCAAACCTGTGACGCACTCTCACCAGTGCCACTTCTTCCCTTATCGCTTTTCAGACAGCAGGCTCTGCTGTGCCCTGGGCCAGGCCAGGCCACCAGCCGCATCTTCTACGAGCCAGATGCTTATGATGACTTAGATCAAGAAGATCCAGATGACGACCTAGATATTTGACTGGCCAGGAGATTTGGATAGACCATAATGGAATGGGAGAAGAAGAACCTGGGCCCAGAACCATCATCCTTCCATTGTTTGCGCTGGCCTGTCCCTGCTCCACCTTTTTTCCCTGTGTTGATGGAGGCCCTACCTTGTGACCCCTCTGAGCCAGTGAGGAGAGACTGATCAGGACAGAAAATGGGATGAGGGCAGGAGAAGGTGCAAGAACAGGACCCTCCCCCATGCCTAATAAAAATCTTAATTTTTTTATTTAAAAAAAAAAAACTGACAGCTATTTAAGCAAGGGTTGAGAGTGGGGGGAACTGGAAGCTGGAAAGGGATAAGGGAAGCTGAGCCCCTGGGTCTTTAGAGTCGATAGCCAAGGTATTGGGGCCTAAATTACAATGAAAATGAAAGGGGGAAGAGGTGGGGAACAGCCTTGCACATCCCTGGTGCCCAGTAAGTGTTTTTGAACAGAGCTGAAAGTAGGTGCATTTAGGCTTCACACTCCCTGCTAGAATCTGGGCAGGAAGAAGAGGCCCTGAAGGGGAAAAAAGAAGCCTGTTTTCCAAAACATTTTTTATTACTGTACAAAAAGCACACCCTCTCCTTTTTTTGTTTCCCCTACCCAACCCCTCAGAGAACTGTACATGGTGTGCGGCAGGGCTGAGGTGACTGTAAGGCCTCTGCTGGGTACCCTGCTCACACACAGGCTGAGCTCTCTGCCCCAGGTCACACATACTCTTTGGCAGAGTTGGGTTGAGGGTAGGAGCGGGGTGCCTGGTATCCGGTTTTACTCTCACTGCCAGGACAGGAGCAAGACAGCAGCGCGCCCCCCAGAAGGACCAGAGCAGACCCTGCCCAGCCAATAAAGATGGCGGGACCAAACTCATACCTGTAGAGAGAGGGAATTGGGGTTAGAAACCCTGTCTGCCTCTGCCCTCCTCCAGGCCCCAGACCTGTCCCTTTAGGAGGCAGGGTTCCCAGACTTACTTAGCATTCACGGGGATCAAGGAGCTATAAAAATCTTGGACAATCTGATGGCCATACCAGGAGCAAGCTATCAAGGCAGCCAGACCTGGAGAAACAAGGAGATGAAGATGTAGTAAGCCCTCAACCCACCACTTTGCTCACCCCTGCTCCTCCGGCACTGGGGAGAGGAGGGCCTTCGGGCAGGCCCTGGTCCTGTGGCTCACCAGCTACGATGAAAACGATGCCTCCGGTCATGGCGATACGGGCCTTCTTCACTTTGTCGTCTCCTCCACAGCGCGTGCACTTCATGCCTATCGTGGCCACAAACATCGCCAAGAAGCCCAGCACCAGCGATACCACCATTAGAGCTCGAGTGGCCTGCAAGGCCGCTGCAGGGAAGAGGGAGGGCCGCCGTCATTGCTGGTGATGCGGACCGCCGTCGGGCGGCCAGCCTTCGCGCCGCGGGCCGCGCCCAATAACCCCTGGACCCTCGTGTGCCGAGCGCTCGCATCCCGCCGCAGGCCTGGGGCCTCTCCGCCGCCACGGGGCCGCCCACTGCCGGCTGGGTCCCGCCCCTCCCGGCGCCGCGGCCTTCCAGCTCCCGCCCCGCCCTCTCCGCTCAGGGAGCCGCCCGGGGCGCCAGGGTTTCGATGAAACTGCCCCGGCGAGGGGGAAGGGTGAACGGGGGCCGCGAGGAGGAGCCGGGCGGCGACCCGAGCCCGCGCTCCGCTGCAGGTCCCGGCCGCGTCCCAGCTCGGAGGCCGCTATCGAGGCCAACGGGTCTGTGGCTTTGGCTAATCGGCCGATAAGATTAGAGGCCGCGGGTGGCGCCCCGCGCCTGCCAGGCCGCGCGGCTCCCCGGCCCTCGACCCAGCACCCCTTTTGTCCGAAACAAATGGGCGCGAGACGGCGAAGGCCACCGCCTGGCCACAGCCGCGGGGGAGCGAGCAGCCCCAAGCGCGGGCCCCCACAAAGGGTTGGGCCGGGGGCGGCAGCCGCGAGGAGGGTCCGGCCGGGACGAGGAGGGCCCTGGCAGCGGGAGTCTCCCGCGTGCGGCCGCCCGACGTCGGCCCGCTCCCGCCAGGCCCCCTTGCCTCGACGGCCCCGTTTGCCTCCTCCGCGCCCCGCCGGCTCCCCGGCGACCCCGACCGTTGGGCCTCGGCCCTGGCCCGCACCCCACCCCCGACCTCGGCCCTGAGCGCGTCCGCCCTGTCGGTCCCGCGGCCTTACCGGGCAGAGAGAGCACCGAGTCGTACATTTTACAGCTCATCAAGCCGGTGCTCTGAGTGATGCAGTCCATCCACAGCCCCTTGTACATGGCCTGGGACGTGATGATGTTGTCGCCCGCGTACGAGCTCATCTGCCACTGAGGGATGGCGGTGCACGCCACCAGGCCCACCCAGCCCAGCACTGCCAAGGAAAAGCCCAGCAGCTGCAGCCCCGAATTGGCCATTTCCTCCCTCAGAAAAGACGGGGCGCCGGGAGGGCGACCCTGCAGTAAACAAAACTTGGAGGGCAACTCCACACAAAGGCAAGTTGGAGTAGAGTTTTAAATCACCCAAAGAAACCAAAAGTTTCTTTCACCGACAGCAAATCTTGTCACCCAAAGTGAACACAAATCGATCCCTCAGGCTGGGCGAGGGTCTCACAGCAGAGAGGACAGGCTATGTCGGGAGGAGTGGCTCCAAACAAAAGCGGTCCGCTAAGGCCGGGCGGTTCTCTCCGGTGCTGTCCGGGCGACCCTACTCAAACTAGGTGGACGGGCCGTAAGGGCGCGGTGTCAGGTTCTGGCAGGCCCCAAAATACCCGGGGCTGCCGGTCCGAGGCTGCAGTGCGCGGGTGAGGCTCCTCTGCGGTCGGCAGGCAGGTGCGGGCGGACAGGTGCGGCGCACCTGAGTATTTGTAGGACGTCGGGGCCGCGCCCCCGCGGGCACTGGGCGCGCGGAAGGGGAGAGGCGGGACCGGAGGGGCGGCCGAGGATGACCTGACGTCACCAAAAGGACACTCACCTGAACCGGAAGTTCTGGCCCCCACCCCTCCCACCCCAGGTAAAGAGGAAGAAACCTGAGCACCAGGGTCACGCCCCTTCACTTGCCCGGCTTTGACCGGAGGTGGTGAGGAGGCAGTGCTTCTGGGGAATCCCAGACTCAGAGTCAGCCCCTCCGGACTGGCCTTCCCTTAGGGACTCGTATGCCCCTTTCCCTCTCCCCAACAGGTGTGCCTAGGAGGCTGCGAAGCCAGGGCCGGGGGACGCCCTCTCCAGCCTCGACTCCGCCTTCTCCCCGCTGGGACTCTTGGTTTCTGCTCTAAATGCTCTTTGTCCCTCCCTACTTTCGTCCCCACCCTCTGTTCTTTCCCTTTTTCCTCAGTCTCCTCCCCTAGCGATCACACATTGAGGGGCCCTGGCCCCAGGTCCTCAGAACTCCCGGCTCTGCACCTTCTCTAGGGTCTCCACTCCCAGAGCCACCACCCCAGCACTCCTCTCGGCTGTCCCTTGCCCTCCCTGTTCCAGCCTTCCAACAGACACTCGGCTTCCAGGCATGGCTCCCCAACATCCTCCATCTTTCAGGCCCCCCATTCCGATCCCTGACATGACAATACCTGGGTCCCTTTCTGCCCCACCTCCAGGCCTGTTTGTAGTCCTCCTCCCCTTGCTGCATCAAGGCTCCTTTAGCAGAAGCCCACATCGCACAGGATAGAAAGCACAGGGGAAAAGGGTAGCTCAGAGTATTGGCCACACCCGTCGTTCCCCCTCCTTGGAGTCTTTTGAAACCTGTCCTCACCGCCTCCCCTTCCCCACCACACACCATTCTCTATCCTTCAATCTGAGCCTGGGCCCCTCTATTTGTGTGCCTTCTCCCACCCCCTCAAATTGATGTCCTCCCTAACACTTGAACTCTCTAATAAGGCCTTTGAATCAGCCCTCAGCTCCCCACCTCACACCCTCATTCCTTCTCACTCTCCCCAAGCAATTGCCCCATCCTTTCTCTACACATCACTTCCAAGCATCTCCATTTCTTCTTGCATCCCTCATCGCTTATCATCTCTGCTTTCCTGCCTTTCCTGCTCCTGATCCCACATACTTCCCTTTTAATCTCTGTTCCTCATCATCTCCAACCCCCTTGGAGCCCAGCTTCACAATTAGTCTTTCTTTTCTTCTTCCTATGTGCACTTTACTGGCCCTATCCTACTGTCTTCAAGCCCAGTGTCCTCCCAATGGACCTCTCCTACCAGCTCCTTACACCTCTCAGATCTCATACACTTTTCTTACTCTGTCTCTCATTTCATTTTCCTCTCCTTTTTTTTTAATTCAATTTTCTTACATTTCCCATCTTTACTTCTTTGTCTCAAACATTTCTCCCTGAATCTTTCCTTCATTTATCTAATAAACATAGAAGATCATACTAAGTTAATCAACTTGCTTTTCTATAACAGACTTTAATAAACTCTTTGTTGTTTGTTTTTATTGTAGTACTTTTTGAAAATAGTTTTTTTTTTTTTAAGTATCTTCTATTTTGTTGGAGCTCTGGTGGCACAGTAGTTAAGCATTTGTCTGCTAACCAAAAGGTTGGCGGTTCGAATGCACCAGCTGCTCCTTGGAAACCCTATGGGGCAGTTCTACTCTGATCTATAAGATTGCTATGAGTCAGAATCTACTCGACGGCAATGGGTTTGGTTTTTAGGTTTTCCATTCTGTCAAAGGTGATGGAAAAATCTGTGAATGGCAAATGGTGATGGCTGACAACATGATGAACATATCTAATGTCACTGAACTGTACATGTAAAGATTGTTGGAATGGCAAACGTTTTGTTACCTATATAATTACCACCCACCACGAGTCTGTCAGTTTGTTGTACTGTGTGGTGCTTGCATGTTGCTGTGATGCTTGAAGCTATGCCACCAGTATGTCAACTACCTGCAGGGTCATCCGTGGTGGACCGGTTTCAGCTGAGCTTCCAGCCTAAGACAGCCTAGGAAGAAGGACCTGGTGATCTACTTCTGAAAAAACTGGCCAGTGAAAACCTTATGAATAGCAGCAGAATATTATCTGATACAGTGTCAGAAGATGAGCCCCTCTGGTTGGAAGGCACTCAGAATACAACTGAGGAAAAGCTGCCTCCTCAAAGTAGAATCTATCTTAATGACATGGATGTAGTCAAGCTTTCAGGACTTTCATTTGCTGATGTGGCACTACTCCAAATGAGAAGAAACAGCGACAAACATCCATTAATAATCACAACATGGAATGAACTAAGTATGAATCTAGGAAAATTGGAAGGCATCAAAAATGAAATGGAACACATAAAGATCGACAGACAATCATATGGTCTACTCTGCTGGGAATGACAAATTGAGGAGGAATGGTATTGCATTAATCGTCAAAAAGAACATTTCAAGATCTATCCTGAAGTACAGTGCTGTCAGAGATAGGATAATATCTGTATGCCAGATTCAGAAGAGGCCGTGGAACAAAGGATATCATTGCTGGTACGGATCCATTGATGGATCTTGGCTGAAAGCAGAGAATACCAAAAAGATGTTTACCTGTGTTTTACTGACTGTAGAAAGGCATTCAACTCTGTGGATAATAACAAATTATGGATAACATTGTGAAGAATGAGAATTCCAGAACACTTAATTGTGCTCAGAAGGAACCTGTACAAAGCAAGGGGATACTGTGTGGTTTAAAATCAGGAAAGGTGTGTGTCATGGTTGTATCCTTTTGTCATACTTATTCAGTCTGTATGCTGAGCAAATAATCCAAGAAGCCAGACTATATGAAGAAGAATGTTGCCATGAGGATAAGCGGAAGACTCATTAATAACCTGTGATATGCAGATGACACAACCTTGCTTGCTGACAGCAAAGATGACTTGAAGCAGTTACTGATGAATGTCAAAGACTACAGCCTTCAGTATGTGTCTTAGGCTGGATTCTCTAGAGAAGCAAAACCAGTAGAGCGTATAATATATATATAGAGAGATTTATATCAAGGAAATACCTCACACGGTTGTAGAGGCTGGAACATCCAAGTCCATGGGTCAAGATAGCGGCTTCTCCTGATTCACATAGCTGCAGGTACTGGAGAACCCAAGACTGATCAGCAGGTTAGAGAGCAGGACTCTTGCTCACAGGCTGCAAAGATTGACAAATCCCAACATCAGCAGGCAAGACCACAGGTAAGCTGCTAGCTCAAGTCCCAAGAACCAGAGGTCAGATGAACAGCAGCTAGCTGCAGGATACAGAGGGAGCAAAGGCCCACAAGCCTTGCCAGAACTTCCACTTATATTTGATGCAGGCCACATGTCCAAGGAAACTCCCTTTCAACTGATAGGCACTCATAGCAGACCTCATCATGGAGGTGGTCACATTATACCAAATCTTATCATGGAAGTGATCACAACATCATACAACTGCCAAACCACTGAGAATCATGGCCCAGCCAAGTTGACACACAACTTTAACCATCACAGTCCACCCCTTGTCAACTTGGCACCTGTACACATCTCCTTAAACCATACATAATCTCTGAATAAAGACAATTATAACATCATACTTGCACCTAACATGATACAATGAACACACGTACAAAGCAGAAATACTCGTAACAATTACAGTCCTCGTTTCTGCAACTGGTCACGTGGACATAACTTCTTATTTAGAACTACCTTCTTTCACCACCCATTCCGTATTCCCTTTGCCTTCAGCAAGCAACTCATCTGGTCATGGTTCTTTGCCTGGTGAAGTGACCCAAACATTCGTTCCTGAAGGGTCTGGGCCATTAGTAGTCATGTCAGAATTGGGTTGCTGTAGTTTTCCATTGACTTTAATCACAGGGCATGGTAATACTAAGAGATGCCCTAAGGGATCTCCTGCATTCCAGACATAGTCTTCTTTATCTCCGTTATGTAATATCAATCCAATTTTCTCTTGGTAATCAAGATCAATCACAGCAGCCAGTATGGTAACTCCTTTCTTTGCTTGTTGATCCAGAGGCATAAGGAGCCCAAAGTGGCCAGGTGGCATTCTTAGCTTCCAGTTCAATGGAATCAGTGATGTGTCTCCAGGTGGGAGCAATCCACCCTTTGGAACTAAGACCTCTAGACCTGTAGAGCATAAGGTTGCAGGGATAGGAAGCAAAAATTTGTGAGTGGGTCACTCCCATTTCCACCTCTTGATTCCTGGACTCATGAATCCTGGCAATGAGAGATACAGCACCATATATTAGATGCTGGTTTAGAGCATATACAGCCTCCTGGAGAACATTACCCCAACCCTGCAAGGTACTACCATCTAGCTGATGCCATAATTGTGCCTTTAGAAGGCTATTCCATTGTTCTATGCAGCTAGCTGCTTCAGGATGATAGGGAACATGGTAAGACCAGTGAATTCCATGAGCATGGGCCCATTGCCACACTTCATTTTCTGTGAAGTGAGTCCCTTGATCTGAG